CATGGCTTTTTTAAATTGTATGTCACATTCGCCACGTCACTGTGTGCTTAAGCGAACATATTGGCTTTTTCTGGGGAGAAAGTTTGCTAGGGGAAATCTCGGAACGTCCTGGAATACTGCCGTCAAACCATTCGCCGGAACGCTGTAAACTTGGGCCATTCAGCTGGTACCACTAGGAGATTGTTCGGCAAGCCAGCCATTTCACGAATAGAAGGGGACTTTAGATAACTAAACAAAGATGTGCTTTTCGGACTTGTGAAAATCTGTCTGATTTGGAAGCTGCTGTGACGAACCCTTAATTAATGAAATCACAAAGCTCTTATTCATGGAAACATCAAAACATCCGTTCTAACAGTTCGTAAACGATAGGTCGTACATAGCTACCGTCAGTGGAGGTCTTGTTTTTCAAGGCCAACCCAGTCCTCTGCTACGTTCATAACTTGTATGGCGGTGGGAGATAAGACGCGTTAGATGGCGCTTAGCTTGTAATTCATGGTCTGAAACTATCCGCCGTGGTTCGGCAGCATAAGCTGCTGACTGGTGGTGCAACGGCTGAGGGTCCTGGGTTCGAATCCTGAAGGATACGCTGGATGCGCACTACTGATGATTCCCAACAGGCTAGGACTGCAGTTGAATGCCTTTTCTGGCATGTGCAGGACTATCTGATTTGGAAATGGCTGCGACGAACTCACAATTAGTTACATCAAAATTCTACTATCTCAAAATATCTCTTATTTCTCAGTGGCTCGGGAGGTTGTTCCCGCATAAGTAGAGATCAACAGTTAGCGTTGTATTTTACGGATGATGTCATCTAACGTAGGATTGCAGTGAAATCACCTCGACAAGAAGAGATGATAGGTATGCAAATATTCATCATTATCATCATGTTCATCATCATCATCATCATCATCATCATCATCATCATCATCATCATCATCATCATCATCATCATCATCATCATCATCATCATCATCATCATCATCATCATCATCATCATCATCATCATCATCATCATCATCATCATCATCATCATCATCATCATCATCATCATCATCATCATCCGCAGCAGCAGCAGCAGCAGCAGCAGCAACAGCAGCAGCAGCAGCATCTTTTTATCTTAGTATCACACATTCGTTGTGTTAAGGGATGGAAGGAGTTGAGCATTATTAGACACACTTCTGAGGGAGGGGTTCCTTCTTTTCATGTAAAGGCTTTCACAGTCTGCTTTTGACAACTGTCAGTTATTGTTGTTCTGCAATGAAGTTCCTCACTTCTTGTCTCCTTTAAGCATATAGTCCCATTTTGACCTAACACGAAAAGGAAACAAACCATTGCTTGTCCGATGAAACACTTCTACAGCAAAGCGTCTCTAGTACCATCTCATGATTTGTTTTCTGATCCAAACCTCTGTGTTTAGTTTGCCTACTACCTTTACACTCGCTGATAGCACTGTGCTCCATTTCGTTTTCATACAGCATTGTAAGCAGAACAGCGAAGTACCACCTAACACTCTGGAACTGTGTTTCGAGGAATATGCTGGTGCATGGACTTCGATTGCTGCGGAGGCTTAAGCTTAAATTCAGCTGGTGCTGGTTTCTTTCAACAACACTAGCTTGTCCGTCGAGTAACACCAGGGGTTCAATAAGCCATGCACGCTGGGTGAACATGAGGGGCTTTCGCAGCATTTTGACCCATGTATTGCTCAGACCGGGAGCGTATAAGTGCATCAAATTGTGTGAGTGATCTGATTTGCTGACCATCGGTTGGCCACTTTCCTTTCGTGTTTGGGGACAGAGTAAACGCGAAACCGGATGAGAACAAAAGGATGTAATGCTGGGGTGGTTGCAGAATTTGCCACGCTTATTGCCATGACTTCCTGTGGATTTCGATCATTTTTCCACAAGACAAGACTCGAGGACATAACTGTACCATCATGTCAATTTTGTGAGGATGGCCCTAACAAGTAGTAACGAAGATGCGATAAATAATCACTTTGCTTCTACGCCTTGGTGATGTCATCTTCCGCAGAATGAAATAACCGTAAAATAACTATATAGCTTTGCACAATAAGCTATTCATTGACAGCCATTTTAGACTCATGCGATCTACCGCGTTTCCTGACGCTTTCGGACACTTTGTCCCAAAGTTTCGAAAAAGCAACGAGGAAGAAATTGTCCCTCATTTTTCTTTTCCTCCCTGCAACTGCGGTCTTAGAAGTCCCATTACGTATAGGATACCTACAATCCCACGTCGGACATAGATTTACTCCTGCGGTGTGAGCACATATATGCATGATTTGGAAGGAAAACACAGGTTTATTATCCTTCTTCCCAACCATATGGATTGCAGTCCATGGATAGTACAACGCTCATCCTAAGTGCATTTTGTGGAGTATCTAATTATTCCTCTTGTAAATGGACCTTCAGTTCATTCAATCGACATTTTATCTGAGTTATGAATCTCTGTGCGCATCATTGAGACATGAAATGGTGGATAGTTCCTATGCTTTGTTCAACGGATGGCATAACTCAAGGAATAAGAAGGAACGACATGTGAATCCACAGTCTTCCACATCCCTGATATTTGGGAGTCCCACTGCTCTGAACAGTTAAATGTGTGCGAGTGTCACAGGCTTAGGTGACGAACTGATGAGCACTGATATATGTACACACCCTGCAGAGCAAGCTGTTTAGTGAAATGTGACACCTATAGGATAAGATTTTGCAAATATCTTTAGCAAACGACAATGGCCACAACGGACACCAAGTTTCAGGAGATGGATACTCCTCTTAGATGTGCCGTAAAACCTCCTGTATTCGTATCTTTGTAAGGATAAGCGACTTTTATGCCGTCTGTAAGCAAGAAAGTAGTGTCATACCTTATTTTGCTATCACCTTTACGTGAACAATTAGCAATAAAGGATTAAGGATATTCCACTCGCTTCTGGTAGATCCGAGTAAACGCCAAGAAAATCACGAGTGACCATGCCACAATCCAAATTCGAAATTTCGTATCCAATACTCTATTCAGTCAGTTCGCAGGCTCTGTTTCATCTTATACCTGATAGGTCATCTGGTGGCATAACTCTGCTTGACTCCAGTGACACTTTCCGAGCTACAACAAGTTCGGCAACCTCTCGCTACGTACAATAACAACCCACAGTATCTCTATCAGTAGTCCCAGTGTCATACACAACAGTAGAAATTTTGTTCTACTGCAACTCACTGTCCTCAACATAATTAAATTAGGACATGATACTCAGGGGACCTTGGTAAACAAACGACTCCCCCTGCATTAGTACAAGGAATGTCTCGGTATCATTTACACCTGATCAAGCGGTACCGTTCGTTAGAGTGAGCCATCAATTTTGTGGATGAATGGTTACATTCCATATCATGCCGGACCGCTATTTGCTTTTGGATGATTTTCGGCTATTTCGATCAGATAACTCATAGATTTTTGTCCACTGTTGAAAAATGAACAGTTATCACGGCTTAAAAGCAAGTGCTTGACACCATTGAATCATTGAACCATTGAACCTCCCGTAGGATGGTTGAGGTGAATGCGATGCAATCAAGAGGTATCTGGGTCATCTACCGAGCGTCTACCGAGATGAATGCTTTGCTAAATAACGTTAGTGTAAAATTAACAAATCGAGTGTAAGCGTGCAGAAATTCACGGGGTGCAGTCGTTGTTGATATAAGGTGTGAGAAAAGTAAAATATGGTCGCTCACTTGGGATCATTTGATACATAAATCCTATCGAAAAGCATGCTTGGCGTAATCCATAATAGTGTAGTTTAGGTAACAAAGTGCTGGGAGCTAAGAGCAATATCTAATCGTTTTTTGAAAAGGCCCAAGGTAGGGGAGGATACAACTGAGTCTGGGAGTGCGTTCCAGGGTTGGCAAACCCCAAGGGAAGAGTAACTACGTCGACATGCTAGACGGCTATTTTGCGTCCTCAATTTCAAGCAGTTACCCCTCAACTACGTGTTGTGGTTAAGTTTCAGCAACTGGTGGCCTACGTGGTTGGGGTCACGCAATATTTGGTACCCTGCATTCAGCGGCAGCCGGTTTCACATATGTCCGGATTCTTCAGCTAGGACAGCAGAATTGTGAGCGAACAACGCCAAACACCCAGCCAAACAGGAGTTGCTTACGAGTACAAACAAAGGTACTATTTTGGGTGGGATATTTTTTCTCACCTTCCTGTAGGAGGTTTGGAAAAATGTAAACCTTGTCTCAACAAGTCTGGCGATCACATTGCTAGCTTAGAGATGATGCTCTAGCTCTAATGCGCTACGCCGCTTCTTCTTCTTTTTCACCGATGAATATGAAAGTGTTGCTGGTGGGCATGCACGCTACAGCCAGACAGGATGCGGTGGATCAGTTGGAATGATTTAACCTTTATATGTTGCACATAGTTCATAACTGCGCAGTGTACAGATATGTTTGGGCTTTGAAGGGTTACCGACGGACAATACGACAGAGTGACGACTTTTTGTTTTGCACGACTTAGTTTTTTCCTTTGGTTCAAGGGAGAAATAGGCTACTAGTGCGTCAAACGGTATGAAAGGATGATGAAGGTGAATAATGGGTTTGTGATACCGTCAAGAATGTGAGTGGTAAGTTTTTCGGGTTGTCATTCAACTTGTGCCCCGCCTCACAAATTTTCGTTCTACATTTAATTAGTAAGATATTTTGTCTCAAACCGCGTATATTTCTTGTGATGTGTATTAGTCAACAGTTTCCACCCGGACAGATAGTTTTCCGTACATTTCAGCTCCCGAAATCCACCGTTTCGGTTGTCTTCCTAAGCTAACTTGCCTCTTCCTTTTCCCACACCCAGTTGCCACTTAACAACCCTGTAGGTGGACGACTGTGCAATACGTGGTTCATGGAGAGACGTTCATGGGTTACTTTATCTACAGCATTTATTTATTGTACTCTGTGTAAATTGCCTGGGAACACAACCTTTTCGACGTTTCTCATTCTACCTAGGCATTGGTTGAAGTAAAAGCCAGTCCACAGGTGCGTATCGTTCAGGTAGGCTTTGGGGGACGCGTTTCTGCATATAGCCCGGAGGTGGCACTGAACGAGTCGGTACAGTCTCTGGCGTTTCTTGAGGCTGGTACTTCCCGATATATCTATATGCCCCTACTACCGAAAGAGCCCGGAAACACTTCATTCACAATTTGCGCATACAGTTTCATTGGCTCCAACTGTGAAACACGCACCGTCTATGTTCGGGTAAGTGCTCCATTACTATTTCCCTTGAGGTAACCCCTCAGGCAAAAACTTTGATCCAAGAACTTGCTTGTGTTTATAATGAGGTGCTAGGTTGCTTAACCTTGTGAACGAAAGTATCTGAGTTTTGATTGTCAACTATGCAAATGGGAGTATGTGTACATAAGTACAGGAAATTTGAGAATAAACTTTTTTGCGTGTGAACAAATGCACACATTGTGTACGAAGGAGATAAGAATCGCTGTATTGGGCTGGGATGGCATATGATAAATCGTGCAGATTGTTGTCCGGCTAACACCGGAACAAGTCCTTTACATGAAGCTGCTGCATACAAACTCGTGTGTCCAACGCCAAAGATGATATTCTTCATTTTGAGGAATGCATGTTAGACAATGAGATAAAACATTACCTAAAATTAATGCCCAGTGGAAAAGTAAAAAAGTGTTGTTTGCGTTCTAACCAACGTTTGAACCAGTAAATGTTTACTCAATACTGCCACAGTCCTTGATGGAAAAGATGCCATAGTTAAATGACAGATCCAATTTTTTAGTGGATAATAGGAAACCTTGAATATGCTTTGATGATGTCGCTTTCGGTAGCCCTTTAGCTGCCGGTTTAATGACTTCAAAACTACGAACGACGGATGCACTGTCTCATTAAAATATGAATCTATAATATTAACTATCAAGATATATAAAAGATTCGCTTTCCATGGACCAATAATAAGTTTACAGGGAGACGTTGCCCAGCGCACTCTATCAAAGCCTGATACTATGTAGCTGCTGTTCTCCCAAATAGATGAACGGAGTCCCCAACTTCTTTCACACGGCAATATTTTTGGATCTGACCAGTTCAAGCGCCCTGTTCGTGAACAACTTCAAAGTGATTGTTCCACAGAAATACACCATTCCAGAGCGCAGAATGCACCGTTTCGTTCCCGGTTCACAATATGCCAATCTTGGTGTTGTTGGTGAGCATAATTTCTTATCACACTTAGTTCACAAAGTGGTAAGTACTTTGCATACATGCTTTTCTCCGTGCGGAATAATGCTGTTCTGTTGCGTGTCTAGTCCCAAACTATTTGCACTGCAACCCGAATTGTAAGTACTTTTTCATTTGCACTTGGCCGGATGTGAATCTTAGGTCGCACACAAGTTCGTTCTCTTCTCGAGTTTACCAGCACTTAAACTACATATCCAAAGCGCCCAGCAACATAGTCAGTACCTCCGCCATGTGAGCAACCTTAAAACTGATTTATCGTATCCGCGTTACCCTTTGTCAAACATACCGTTAAATGTGCGAATTCCTTGGCTGTGATCCACATAGGCAAACCTTTTTTAAAATGACTAACAGCTTAATTAAAGGGTCCAGTTTTCCGCGATTCCACGAACACGCATGAAAATCGTGGAATTTATACATTTCACGGGAAATGAAATTTTCGCGGAATCATAGAAAAAATGAGAAATTCATACATAAAGCTACTTTAAATTCGCTGTAGCTATAATCAATATAACTAAGAGCTTCTAACATTTGCAGATGTCATCTCAGAAAATGAAACAGTATCTAGCAGATGCTGTCCTGGCCTGCGTGAAGAAGTTTCCACATCGATGAGGTGGATAAAAAATTACTGTCCTGTTCTTCGTGTGAAGTGACTGTGGCTCCACATCCAAAATTAACTGTGTTCGGCCATATTTGCAGCCAGAAGCATCCTAAAAAGCGAGCTCACAAGCATGAGGTAGCATCTAAACTTGGTGTCAAAGTTGAATCAGCTCCGAAGAAAGTTCGACAAGCAAGCATTTTTAGTTCCAGCGCCGTTGCAAATGATGTCCAGGAAGCCCGCGACACTTTCTAGTTGCTGTGGCATCTTTGAGTATTCTTATAGCGAAGGCCGACAACCCTCAGTTGAGAGAATTACTTCACAGATATGTACAAAATGGTGGACACATTGCCGGATCTAACGCGCTACGTCTGAAAATTCACTAACTATACGGGAAGCACCGACAAATATTGAGATATGCTGCGTGATATATTTGCCAGCGCCATAAGAAACATAAGAACTCATGATCGCGGGAAGGTAGAACTACCAGTTATGAGCACCATTAAAATGCAACAAGTACAATTTGCAAGCATACCTCATTGACACGCACAACTTAGAGTGAGTCAATTTCTCTGTCGTTAGAGGAGGCATTCTGCGCAGCTTGACAATGATGGGTAACGACTTCAGTTGTGTGACGGATTTCGTACAGGATGACGCAAGGTATATGATAGCATACTACCGCGATGTCATTAAGGCTGTTATTGAAAATACGTTACACAATATATGTGCCGCCCACTGCATCATTTGAGTGGAGGTACACTTCGCAAAATGCTTTCATGAAGTCGACGGATTCATTGCAAACATGCAAAGCGCTTTTCGTCTTTCGGGAAGAAAGAGGTGTGTCTACATTGAGCATCTAACTCTGGAAGGCTTGGATAACCCGATCGATACAGCTGCACCGATCATCACTTGCTGGTACTCCTAGCTGGAAGCTGTCACACATCACAGCAAGTATTTCGACCATTACCCAATCATGGTGCAAGCTGTACCACATGATTTTGCAGACTCAGTTGGTGTTTGTGAACTTGAAGATCTGCTAACCAACGAAATAACATAAGAAGCTTTGAAGTGGCAAATGATTCGCATTGCGACCGTTGGTAATAACATTATCCGTCACTTGAAAAGTGCCTAATGACAGTCTCCGGTAACCCATAAGATTTACTACGACATCTCCAATTTATCCATGTCGGTTAGAACTGCCACTGAGGAGAACTGGCAGCAGCATTTGCAGCCAGAGCGGCTGACTTTTGATGAATATAGCAAAATCCAAAGTGACTTGCGACTGCTTCTCCCAAGCTGCCAAAATAGTTCAGGAGTTGCTGACATCAGAGGCTACTGGCAGCTTCTGAAAGCCATTAGAGTGCTCGACCCCAGCCAGTACATTACCTTGCCCAGTGATCCATGCAGCTATATCGACATTCCAGGCCTGGTTGGTTACCGAGCTCTGGCAGCTGAATTGTTAATCCATCGAAAAGTGGTGGAATAAATGCATGGCGACAGATGTGATGACACGCTGGCCTTCTGGTGTGGGATGCAGGAAAGAACTTCACAACTGGCAAACACTGCAGACCGTTATCCATGCATTGCTGTGAACTCGGTAGACGCTGAACAGAGTTTTAGTGCCTACAAAATGTTGTGTCTGACAAGCGTCACAAACTTTTGGACGATAACAAGAAGCACCTTGTTGGCCTTTATTTTAATTCCTGTTTCTCCGTCAAAACTATGTATGAGGTGCATGAACATGCCTGAATTTCTGTTCAAGTTTTCGCAGGAAAAGCACTGAATTGTACTTTGGCGCGGCAGAAATGTGGCGGAACTATTTTGATCACAGAAAACAGGTACGCCACCAAAGAAAACTAACGTCATTAGGTATAATCAAAGGTGTATTTGGGGTTGTATATAATGTTCGTGGTGTGAACGGGTCTTGACCCAGTCACAAATCCCAAAGCGATGCAGTTTACTGCGATTCTTGCAGCTAAAGTATGATGACGGTTGCTATCCCGAAAAACAGATTTCGTATGAAGACATGAAAAAGGGGAAGTGCTCTTCTGAATCTCACTTCCAGCTAAACATTCGCTTGCACACATGCATTCCTCCGATGGCCTCTTACATGAGACGTCCTCTTCAAGGAGATTACATGTAAATGCGCATTACTGAGGAGTCTCGAAAGTGTCTAATGCTCATCAGCCTGATTACATAAAATCGTTCTTACAGTGAGATGCCAGTAAGTTTGTGGATGTCGTGCCATCCGAATGAAGTCATTTACTATGAAATGTTTTAACCGAACTTCCCACTTATTCTCACAGTTGGCGTCCAGAAATGTTGCCATGACCATAGACCTAAGGAGCGTAGCGCACATAAAACTTAACACCTTCAAAGATGGTCCGTGTTAACTGATTAAGTTCCAAAATTTCCTCAAAAACCTCTATTTAATTGCTGTACACTAATATCTTCTGCGTAGGAAAACCAGTTATTTTGTGTTTCATGTTATATGTAACAGTAAACGCACTGATGGGACCCTGATAAGTCAGGAGAACTTGTTTATTTCTTAAGCGGATAGGAGGTGGTGTGAAAAGAGTTCTAAAGTACAAGCTCCCGTGCCAGGTGATTGGTTGAGTACATGGTGCTGTCGATTGGGTTGTTACCAACCGTCTTCCTCATTCCGAACTTGAGGCCGACCTTCTCTGGTACTTTCTGTAGTATAGCTGTGATGTGTACCCAAACACTGGCCTGTAGCCGATGTGTCGAACCCACATGTGCGTGCTAATCGTGTAATCCTGTGCTCTGTGTTAACTTGGATTTATCCCATTACATTGTTGTGCCACCTCTTCGGTAGTACACTCAATCCATTCGAAGCATCGAGCTTTACCCAACGGGATCTATATTTCCGAAGTAACTCCAACGACACGCTGGTACACCACAAACTCCGTCTTCGTATTCTATTCACTAAAGCCAAGGTGTGTAATTTTGCTTATTTGTGTTTCATCAGTACGTTTGAAATATCATTCGACAGAGCTTCTTTAATGCCACAAGACAAAATATAACTGCGCACCATTGTATACCGTAGCTACAGGCTTTTTTGTTGCCTCACATCACCACCGTATTGTTACGTACACAAAGCCTGTGTGATTTTGTCTACCCGTGCGCCTAGTGACGCACCACTACCATACCCGCTGACAGATCCCTCTGACCGAAGCAGATAGACGGCTTGACCAAAGCAACCTAAAAGTTCATACGAACCATTGAGCCAAGGGCCGGAGAAGTCTGTCGACCGGGAATCCACCGAGCAACAAACCCAAGGTCAACCGTAGCTCAGACAAGCGGGGAACAGGGGTCACAACGAAAACCACGTTTTCGTTCTGTGCAAATTCCTACGACGCAACAATTGCGCACATTAAACGTAACGAAGGTAATAGCGTACCGACAGATAGGTTGTACCTCGGTGACTTACGTTCTGATAGTCCCATGATTATGATTGTTCAAACATTTACGTTAAGGTGCGGAATATTGGCTACTACGTCTACAGATCAAACGGCACTGATCGCGGTATTAGGAGGTGAAATCTCTGCACTCGAGTTGCAGATTAATGTATTACGTAGCAGAAATCCGAGACCTGTTAAAAGCTCGCTAACAACAGTGCTACCCATTCCGGCAAAAGGCAAACACCGTTAGTGACAAACCGCAGTGAAAACAGGCCGGGTGAACGATCTCCCAAGTCTCATGAAATGATGCAAAGCATGCAGTTACGCACAAACTGCACAATCACCTCCGTCAGTAGCTGGGCAACAATGCTTGACTCTCACAGATATTACAACTAACGATGTTGCACTTAAACAGTCTTGCTGTAGCCTTGGCCTTTCTTCCACGGAAGTCAAGTCAAATGCTCCCACAAGACAAATATCTGCTCATAAGGAACTGCAGGACGAACAATTACTACGCAACCAAAACGCGTTGATAGTGATGTGTTCAAACGTCCCGGAACCCACCAGTGAATCCATAAAAGGCAGACAAACCGAGCAGCAAAACCGCTGGGCAGAGATAACCTGTGCACTAGGACTGAAAGTTCTCCCAACTAGTCATACTCGCCTTTCACATAATCCATCATCTCCGCACGTAGAAGAACCTCGGTTACTGCGAGTAACCTTTGGCAACATACTGGACCTGAAAGATGTACTCTTAGCCAGCAACATGCTGCAGTACATCCGGTATGTTACCATCTTTCCGCGCATTTGAGCCATGACCGGTAAGCAAGTACGCGCATATAGGAAAGACAACCGTCCATAATGCTTGTTCGGCTATCCAATCGGCAATTAATTTTGGAAAGAGGAATTGCTAGCACTCCTGTGCCTAGTCTGGGGGGCACACAATCCTGTGCGAAGCCATGGATTTTGTTCTACCCCTTGCTGGCATGCATGACTTTCATCGAGAGAAGTACACAGTGACACCACCTTAGAAGAAATAGCGAAGAATTCGTTTTCAGTGGTTCCTCCTCAGTCTAATACACCACAAAGGAGTGACATGGACGTAAACATCAGATAAAGGTACAGGTTCAAAACCCAAGCTGAATGATTGGCCCCACGGCGATCTGTGTTTGTGTGTATGTGGCGTTGTCCACACTATGTGTCCGTGTTACAGGAAACCAGGATAGAGTTAGTGCCTGGACAAATTTCTTGCGGGCACATAGGTCAGGGTCATGAGACCTAATAGATATTGCTTTTCGAGGAAAGTAGAAGCCACGATTAAAATTCACGCACAATAATATGCCTCGACGGGGAGTCGAACCCCGGTCCACGAATTTCCGGTCCGTTGCTCTACCACCTGAGCTACCGAGGGCTGACGATTAGGTGCGCAAATTTTAACACATGTCTTCTGCTTGGTGCGCGACGTGTTGCTTTGGCCACTGTCAGTAGACGACATCCGACCGCTCTTGTGTGCATTATGGATAGGCCGTGGATGGGCCTTGACGCCTCATGCGCTCTGACCGCGTGGCTCGAGTCGACAGGTGTGCAGACACTGCGCTAGCCACTGATCTAGTAACGCCAAAATACGGCCAAGCTGGAAAGTGTTCCGTGGCTTTCTCGGACAGTCTTTTGGTACTTCTTCCGAAATATAATGATCGACACGAGATAGAAAACAAGTATACACAGAAAGAAGTATTTGACCAACGAAGCCTGACCTTAAGTTGTTGATTCACCGTCCGCACTGAGAATAAGCTTAGTGTTAGACACGCTGTATAGAAAGTTTGAGTGATAGCTTCCATAAAATTCCTCGGCTAAGTTGTCCCCCTGGGCAACAGAATTAATCTGAACGGCAAGGAAGTTGCACTGAGGCGCATACAAAATGGGTCGTTACTCAATTACTTTGAGCTGTGCGTGAGCCGCTCACTTGTGCAGGTGTCTAGCAGTGAGCGTATAGCCCGGCACCTTAAGCTAATAGGACGCACGAGGTCATAGGGGTGCAGGTGGGACGCTTCAGCTCCTGCCAGGAACAGTGTCGGTGGCCGATGCACCATGTGGGCCTTTGTTTCTCTGTCCTAGGAAGCGATTCCCACCAATTAGAAAGTGAGTAGGGATTTGAACCACGATTGCTTTGGTATAACGAGCAACAGCCAAATACGTTTTCCGTGTGCTTTTAAACGTGCAGTTCACCTAAACGCAATGGTCGGTTTGTATGTTCGGCACTCGATGGAGGTGAAGAACGTCATACTGAAAACGTACGAGGAAGGAGACGATTGGAATCAGGTCGCTTGCACACTGAAGGTGAACGTGAAAATTTGCTGCAACTAGCTACGGGCGTACGGATCGACGGATCCGGTGGGGCAGCACGGGAGAGTCCGTCGCAGAGCACTGGGAGAAAGCCACCTCGACTTTCTGGTGGAGTGGGTTTCTGCGGAGCCTACCGGTACTCTTGAACTCCTCCGTTTGCAGTTGAAGGCGGAGTTCGAAATTTCAGTAAGTGTCACCACCGTTTCACGATTCTTGGGTGGTAGACTGATAACGATGAAGAAACTACACACCATTCCGGAGTCCATGAACACGCTGGAGAACAAAAAGCGACGCAGGTCATTCGTTTTGCAGCTCATGGATTACGAGGTGGAAGGAAGGCAACCGGTGTGGATTGATGAGACCAACTTCAACTTATTTTGCTCCCGCACTCGTGGCCACTCTCGATGTGGTAGTCGAGCGCAATGTACAGTGGCGAACAGCCGGGGACGGAATGTTCTTTTCGGCGCCATGACAAATAACGGCTTGATAACGTGTTCGGTTCTGAGAAGAAGTTACAACAAGCAAACGTGCGCTCAGTGGCTGCGACAGGTGCTTGATACCAACGGAGCAGGGTTTGTGAAAAGGTGTCTTTTGATTTGTGACAACGCGCCCTGTCACACGCACGTTTTCCTGGAGGAACCGTACCGCTCTGGGAGAATTCTACGCCTTGTGCCGTACTCACCAGCTCTCAGTCCCATGAAAGCATCTGGAGCATAATAAAGGCTCATGTAAAACAAGCAATGAGGGGACGGTACGCCGAGAAAAGTCATCCGTCTCTTCGGGAATACAGTGTCTCAAAAATCGACAAGATATTCCCATAGGTACTTCAAACACTTACCCGCAGCGTAAAAGTACATCTTTCAACGTTTTCCAGGATCTGTTGACTTCTATACACTCCCATCTGAGTGGAAACGTGGAATCGTCACTCTGATATGTAAAGGTAAAAGATCGGATCCTGCTATCTACCGATCAGTTACTCTCCTACCTGTTTATCAAAAGTGCTGGAATCGGTACTCGCAGATAAACTAAAGCGATATTTTGAAATCTGCAAATATTTTCTAATGCCCAACATGGTTTCAGACGCAGACAATCTTGCCTTACAAATCTGCTCCTTGCTCGGGATTCACGGACTACAGCAGCTGATGGAGGAGTCCCCATAGATGTGGTTTACTTAGATTTTTCTACGGCATTCGACAGGGACAATCACTTCGTTCTCCTCTAAAAGCTTGCTGCCTACGGTATTAACGGTTCCCTTCTCACCTCGTTGGAAGATTATCAACAGGACAGAACCATCACGGTAAGAATAGCGAGCACTCACTCCAACTATCCGTGCGTATCCCGTGGTGCACCGCAAGGATCTGTCCTCGGCCCGCTACTGTTTTTAGTTTACATAAATGATCTCTCAGAAAAGATTTTATCCCTGCTGCAGATATTAGCAGAGCACGCTAAAAATATGGAGAGCAAATCGCTTAGCATCCGACCGTGCCTATCTCCAGGACGATCTGGACGGAATTAAGGAATGGGCAGAAAGAAATCAGCTCCCGCTGAATCCTTAAATGTCACCTGTTGACGCTGCATAGCACCTTCAGCAACACATTTGTTCTGTGCCAGCACGTTTTGCAACAGGTGACTAGTGAACGAGACCTAGGTATCATCGTCCAAGCAAGTCTTGGCAATTCGCTCCAATGCTGGAAAGCAGTGAATGTGACGAACTTGAACTTGAGGCTCTTGAGGCGAGCTCTCGGCACCATTGAGCGACGGCTAGTACCACTGTTGATCAACACATATCTTCATTCCCATGTTGAATATGCCGTTCAAGCCTGGCGCCCATGGTTAAAACGAGATATTCATTTCTTGTAGCAACCCCGAAGAAGAGCTACCAAGGCAACAAGTGGACTATCCGGTCTCATTTACGAACTGTGCCTTCGTTTGCTAGCTGTCTTCTCCTCAGGATACCGATGGCTTCGCGGGGATCCCGTCCTCACCTACTGCATACTTAGTGAAAGCGATCACCCATGTGCATCACTGTTGACCCTAGCCCCTTACAAACAATTTCGAGGCCATTACCTGAAACTAGTGACGCAACACTCCCGTTCCCACTGGAATGCATCCCCAACACATGCTGTGAACCAACCAGACATCGCGACATGCGAGAGACTTCTAGACTTCCATCTTAGTGCTAAAAACTAGACAAAAGTGTGATGAACTGCGAGGTCTTTACCATTGATGTTTCACACTCCAAGCTGGATCACTTTTGCTTTTAATTTTCTTGTGCATTTTCCATCCAACGCGTCTTGTAAAATTATGTTTTTAACCCATCATACTCTACAGAACCATTGAACCAAGCACGAGGATCAACCTCACTGTGTCAGGTTCTGCTTGCGAAGCTCAATGGTCTTGTGCGCATGGCGATAGTCGCCAAACGTTTTGTGCCGAGTTCCACTTTTAATATCATCTGTCCCTTTGTGCGCTCGGTTTCTCGGTACCACGAGAAATATACCTTATTATTATATTTCCACTTGAGGAGTCCAAATCATACTAAACGCGTCTTAGTGCATGAATGGGAGTGACCACCACTGAAACCCTCTACCCCACTTGTGCTTATTCTCATCCGACTTACCATTCCTCAGTACCAACAAAACGGCTTTCTAGTGCTTTGATGGTGGATCTTGCTTCTTCGAACAATGCAATTGAACAGGCAGAAAATCCATACATCGTTGCTCCTCCCCCTTCTCCACCAACGTCAGATAATCGTTACTCACGTCAGAGAGGACCCGTGCTTGCCGTGACAAGTAGCACATCGTCTTTGGTGGCCGAGAATGAAGCGAGTTTAAGTTAATTAGCCACAGACAAAAGGCAGATTATGTTTCCGTTTTCTATTCATAAACAATTAAGCCCGCTACCCTAGTATTTGGAGACACCCAATGCTTAGATACCTGTTGCGCTGAGCTTCTATTTAATTCCTAGTCGGCTTATCGAAGGATACCAAATGGCGTTGGACCGTCGAAAATTTTTACACCACTTTCTTCCGTTTCAGGTGACTTCATTGGACCTTCGTTAAGCGAAGACCTGGAGTTCGCCACAACGCACAACATAGTGCGACTAAGGTTTGCCAGCGTGGAAAGCGTCTTCTTTGAGTTGGGCTACAACCTGCGTCTACTGCTGTATTTGTACAATGCAGGCACTTTGTCAGAAACCGTCCTAAACGATGGTCTGCTATACTGCACCGTTGTTCTGCAACGGGGATTCGCCTTCTACAATTCCTCGGTCAATGGATTTTCCAACTTTCGCGACCGTCTGGATAAGTGAGTGCCAATACAGTGCCAGTAAGATCCGTCCTTTTGCGGGTACAAGAAATGTACATTGTTACTCTGTGGCATGTGACCTCCATAGTCGAAAGTACTTTCCCTCCAAATGGTATTTGGTGTACCCGCTGTGTGGCTGGATTGCGACTCGCAATCTCTATTCAGACCTTTGTTTCCACTCTCCACTTCCACCTTGCCTGTCGATGAATAAGGAGGAAACGACTTTGACGGTTTAAAAGTGGTAGATTTCCATCACTAGCATGAGCAACGCCATATCTTTATGGTTAAGGAGATTTTGCTTTCTAACAACCGTACTGAAGTGCTTATCGGTTAACTATCCTCGCGATTCATCGCGAACGGGATGTTCCCCTCCGCTGCCTGCATGCGGTATCGTTGACTTTCTCTTGGTAACATGGGTCACTTGTGTCGACCACCTTCAAGCCTAATAAATAGTTCAACTTAAAATCTGTGTGTGCATTTGCGAGCGAGCAAGCGATCATTCATTTGTGGCGGCACCGAACTCAGCCGCCTGTACACTGACGGGCTTCAAGACAGGTATTGAACTTTACAATTCCACATAATCTATGCCCATCTGAACGCATAAATTAAGCCCGAGACCCGAGCGGTTGGTCTTCAGCGGAGTTCAATGCAAGCTGCTCCGTGCTGCTGGATCAAACTAATCGCGTGAAACTTTTACTCTGTGAAACTGATAACCCTGTGTATGATAATCAGTAGTTGAGACAATGTGCCTTGTGCACAACTCACTGCCGTGTGGTCCACTCAACTCCCAGTCTTTTTAATGGCTGCTTTTCTCCGCAACTATTGAAAGTAGCCAATAGTTTTACATCAGCAGGTCAAACATACCAAGGTCGGTACATCCTATAATATTCCACTCCCCCTACTACTCTTCTGTAATCAGTACGCAGACCAAACTGCTTATAATGCCATGAGTCAATTGGCGGCTTAAGTTTTCTAAGCTCGTCGCTTGGTGAGGGGACTACCCTGTCCTCGGCACGGCAGTAACTTGTAAGTCAGTGAATAATGAGCGGCGCTATATCACATCTAGTAACTTATTCACGATGGTCGTTGCCGTCCCCCGTAGCTCAGTGGTCTTAACCACGGACTGGCAACAGTCGAGTTGCGGGTTCGAGCCCTACCAAGGTCAGATGGAATGCGCACTGCTGGCGATTCCCGAAAGGATGAAACGCGCATGCAGTGCTTTGCCGAGCGTGTGACGGCTGTCTGAGTGAGTCTAGATGTGACGGATTTCTACCTAAAACCATTTAATTCTTGCCAACCCCGGGCGATAGCCAAATAGCAGTTTCGCATGAGCACTCCAAGGTCGCTGCCATGCGAAGCGTACCGCAAAAGTATAGGCTTAGTCGGTATTCGCGAATGTCCTGATGGCGTAGGCTCAAAATTCTACGCTGGGTTGCGTTCAAGTGAAGTAGGTTTCCGGTACACCAGATGTAAGCCTTGTCGAGGTTGCTTTGCAATGTTGTATGCTCTTTAACATTCATTTCCTTGCATCACGAGCAACGATAAGTACATGTGAAATGAGAACCTTTCGCGAGATCGTTTATGAAGACAATGAACAGACTCAATTCGCACACTGAAACTTGCTGTATACCACACCGGACTTCGACTTGGTCAGGTAAGGTGTTATGAGCCCTCACGTTTAGATGGTGTTGAAAAAAGACGTGCATCCAACCCAAAAGCAGAGTTACCAACTTCACAGCTCTGAAGTTTGGAAGGTAGAATATCGTGATCTAAGTGGTCAAATTCCCTTAAGGGAACAGATAGGTGGCATCAGTTCCTACCGTGGCCCCGAGCAACATCTCGCAACATTCCCGGACTATCATTACGCACGCGATGCATTATTCCGGTAACATATGTACTTCGTCCACGCCATAATTCTGGATTTAATGACTTCGTAAATCACCGGAAGGAGAGTTGTCGGGTGATACTTCGGAGTTAAATACGACTGTCGTTTGTGTAGATAAGGTAATCCAGTAGTCCACAGAGTGAAAACTCACATCTAATCGAGGTATCCCTGGAACATCTTGGTTATCCGTCCAGCTACAGTGATCGTCTGGAAAGCTGTGTTCACGCAAGCTAGACGTCGCTCTACCTTGATGATGGTGTGCTCTGAATGAGAACGATGCAAAAAGACGCACTCTAAAATGTATGAGTAGATTGTTGTCCAATGGCGTTTGCCGCCTTTCCAACGGTATTCTTCGGGCCACATACTGCATATTGCTCATAGAACAGAAATCCGGAGCTACACTTTACGGAATTTGTCGGTTTGTCTGTAAAATATCTTGGGAAATGTCCTGTCGATGCGTTACTTTATCCCACCTACTAGTTTGACGCAGCTGTCTCGCTGAACTATAATTGTATCCAAAGTTTACTCACTCGGAGAGGCTAGGTGGACACACCAAGCTGAGTCCCTCAAGGTCATACCTTTCCCAGTTCCGTTACTTAGAGAAGGCTTCGCCATTCTCAAACCGCATCTCTTGACTACTGATGCGCTTACCACTAGCCAGTTAAACTGGCGTTCGATGTTGCTCCATCTCAACACATTTCACACGGCAAACAGATTCTCACCCCCGGACAAACTGGTGGGCTCGTTAAGAAGTAGCAACTACTTGTATTGATGAGGTCACACAATTTATGTTACTGGCTGATGATATACGTTTCTTTGCTTTTCCATTTGAAAGATTTTACGGAACAGGGACAGTGCCCATTGGTGTCACCAGACCGCTGCGAGCCAATGGAGTGCCAACCGTTACTGTCTCAGCCATGAGTTCTTTGTTCATGGACAAGAGATTCAGAGTGGTCGCTTTGCTTCCCTTCTGAACCGCGTGCGATAAGTAGCACGGTTGTAGGGCGTGGGCCAGACGCTGCCTCTTTTACTTCCACATTAACGCACGTTTGTGCTTCAGATTTCACCTTCTCCAGAAAACGTACCCGCCACTCGCCTTTGCTTAGAAAACCTGCATGGTCACCTCAGAGCATTTCGGTATTGCGTGCTCTCATTGCCTGCCTCACATAGTCCTTTATAATACTCCAGATGCCCTCGATGGGGTTAAGGGATAGACAGCATGAGGCCAGTCGCCGAAGTCTCGCTGATCGGTAAGGTTCGTTCAAGAAACCTTGCTCCAGGTCCGTTTGGCATAGCGCATTGTCGTAAATCAAGACAGCTTTCGATGAGTGCGGCACCATTAGTAGCAAGTAGTTGACGCAGCCACTGAGAACACCTATTCTTGTTATAGCTGCCTCTTAAAACGGAGAAAGCTATCAAGCAATTCTTCGTCATGGCGCGGACAACGTGTACATTCTGACCCCTACTATTCGCCACAGTACATTGCGCTTGAGTAGCACGTAGTGAGCAGCCCCTGATGCGACCGAAAAAGGATGAAGTTAGTTTCGTCTATCCGCACTGATTGTCTTCCTTCTGCCTCCAAATTCATCAGCTGCAGTACGAATGATTTCTGTCGCCTCTTGTTCTCTAACATGTTCAGAGACTCCGGAATAGCGTGCAACTTCTTCTTGGCTATCAATTGGCCGTCTAAGTACCTGACGACCGTGCCGGTGCATACCTCAACTTCAAACTCTGCTTTCAACCCTAAATGAAGAGCTTTAAGCGTTACTGTTAGTTTCGCAGACAAACACCCAACTAGAGTGTCGAGAAGATTTTCTGCCAAGGCTCTGCGACGAACCCCTCCATGCCGTCCGATAGGTTCGGTAGACGCACATATACGAGTCCATCTGGGGCAGGCTTTCACCTTTACGTTAAACACACAAGCAACCTGCTTCCAATCCTCTCCCTCCTCATACGTTTTCATTATTCTGTTTTTCACTTCCACTGCGTGACGTGTATAAAGCCCCTTCCTACCATTGCTTTTCGGTAAAGTGCACGTTCACAGTGTTACTGATAATTTATTGCACTACCCCTCATGTTCCTACCCCTCCCCCAAGTTGCATGTGCATTAGACTCCACCGTTTGCCCCCGTCCTACCACGCGAAACGGGCTACCTCATTGCCCCAACTCTGGTCATCTGTTTGCGGTCAGCTATAGGCGTGTCCGCGTCGTCTATTTGTCACCGCAACGAAACTCCCTGTGCAGCTGTTCCTTCCTTGTGGCCACTGAACATAACTGTCCAGCTGTGCTGACTTGCGATACACAAAGGCAATGGACTGTGGAGGCTACAAACCGCATAGGCTCTGGACCTAGGTGTTAATCCGTGGAGGTGTGTATATCACTTTTGCCTCCATGGATACTAACGCAGGAATCCAACTGATGGTATTTCGTTACCTCTCGCAGCACTCCTTCGGTTATGTTCGTAATCTCGGTTTAATCAGTGATGTTAACCACAATCCTAAGCTAGATGGAAGCCGACGATGTGAACCAACCTCCAGATCGAATGCGGTTGATTACCATCCCACCACACAGCGCAGTGTTTGATAGGATACTGTGGGGAGCCCAGGTTTCGGTTAAGATTGCCAGCAGTATCAGAACACACCATAGGATTATGGTGCTGGGTGAATTCAATGTAGCACCTATGGTGTATTCGCTTAGGCGGAGCGCTTTACTCCTCAGTTATGCCGGTACATTTGACAACTGGTTCAACATTGTGCATGCCCAGTGTTTTCTTCAATGTACCAGTCACCAAAAGCACGATTAGCCTCATAGGTAGAAGTTGTTGTCTGGCTACAACTCATTTCTATTTGGGCCATTGAGGTGTCTCACACTAATAATTTCGTCAACGAGCGTGGATTCTGTAGTCGGATTAAAATGTGACCGCACATCGCACTCCACCTAGCGGACAAGTCACAGGCAACTAACCTGTTTCCACTCCCTCCTGGAGGGGGGGTGAGGCAGAACCCTGTAACCTGGTCAATATGACAGGGGCTCGGAGATAAACGTAGTCCGGTAGGAAAAATAGTCGGGCAACCGATGCCTCGGATGCCTCTGAACGAATGTCGGAACAATGAAC